TTTGTTAGTATCAATTTTGTTCGTGAGTTGAGTTTTGTTGTGGTAAATGTTGGAGAGTTTTTCAACAATAGCTGGTGGAAATTTATTGGTGTAAATGAATGAATGCTTTCTGTGGTTGATTTCTTTATCTATGTAGTCCGTTGAACAAAGTTTTGTGGTGTGTTTATGAGGTTTTTAGTGTATTGATTTTTGTGTGGCGTCATAGCAGAATTCTAGGGAATGTAAAGGCCAGTGAGTGCGTGTGTGTGTTCTTATGGTGAATTTTGGTTTTAAACTGTGTGTCCGATCTAATAATGCTAAGGTTAAGAAAAGATAACTGTTTATTGTTTTTGTGTTCTATGGTAAATTTGATATTGGGATGAATGGAGTTTGTGTTCAAAGAAAATTAGTTTGTGTTCTGTAAAAGTGAAACCAGCAAAAGTGTCATCAACATACTTGTACCAGTATAGTGGGGGATGAAGCGCAGAATGTATTGGTTATGTTTTAATCTGGGTCATGAATATATATTAACTTTAAAGTAATTCATCAAATCAGCCTTTAGGTAGAAACAAAGTGGCGTAGAAAAATTATTTCAGCAACTCGGGGATATACTATTATTGCTAAAGTAATGCCACCAAACTTATGGAAGCCATGTGCACATTGTATTTTGTATAGTGGGGGATGAAGCGCAGAATGTATGGGTTATGTTTCAATCTGGGTCATGAATATATTGGCAAGAATGGATGAAACAGGATTGCCCATACTTAAACCATCTATTTGAAGGAAATGTTCGTTGTTGAAAATGAAGTTGGTTTTAGTTGTTGTAAATTCTAAGAGAGAAGCAAAAAGTGTGCTGGGGATGTGCATTAATTTGTTGGGGTCATTAATGTAAAGGTCGAGTGCAATATTGCAAGCTTCATTGGCGGGGACTTCAGTGAAGAGTGACACGACATCAAAACTAGCCATTAAGGCTTTCGAATTTAGTTGTTTTAGTGTATATTTGAAATTGAAGGCATCTTTAAAAAATTAACCTACAGATGATACATATAGTGTGAGAGCCCAGGCTATGTATTTGTCAAGATTGTAGTTGAAGGAATCATAAGTGGACAGTATAGGTCGTAGGGGGCAGTCCTGTTTGTGTGGTTTAGGTTTGTTTGTTTATTTGTAATTAAGCACAAAGCTACACAATGGGCTATCTGTGTTCTGCCCACCAAGGGTATCGAAACCCGTATTCTTGCGTTGTAAGTCCGCAGACATACCGCTTTGCTACTGGGGGGCTTTGTGTGGTTTAGGAAAGCCATAGAGTTGTGGTGTGCGTGAATCAGTTTTACAAAGATAAAAATAAAGATTGTCAGTAATTAAATTATCTTTTTTCATTTGTAATAAAGTTCTGTTTAGTTGTTTTTGTGTGTGTTTGTAGGGTTGTTTGGGATGGCCTTGAATTTCTTTTTATCGGAAAGGATGTTGTTCATTTTGTCGATGTATTCTGAATTGTTCATGATTACAATGGTGTTGCTTTTATCAGCTTTTAGAATTTTAATGTTAGTGTCTTTTTCCATACTATAAATACATTTGATCTCGTTACTTGTGAGGTTACTTTTCAGTTTACGGGATTGGTTGACTATATTAATAGTATTGTTTGAGAATTCTTTAAAACTACAGTGTACCTGATGTTGACAAAACCTTGTCGAAACGTTGTCCACTATTTTATTTTTTCAATAATGTCTGCTACATGATACATGCACTTCAATGCAAATTGTAGGTCTAAGTTCACAAACAAACTTTCAACATAAACTCTGAAATTGCTGTAAGCTGAATACACAAATAACGTTTAACAGAAGGTTCCCGAGTTGATGACAACCTTAATAACGTACTGATTACCTTAAAGAAACACCAACTCAATAACTTTACTTGATGAAGATTCTCTCGCTTAACAACTGCTCGTTTGTTGTTTGTTTGTTGAATTTCGCGCAAGGCTACTCGAGGACTATATGGTTGTCTCTAATTTTGAAGTAATGGACTAGATGGAAGGCAGCTTGTCAACACCACCCACTTTCAACTCTTTGGTTGATTTTCTAACAACGAATAGTGGGATTGGCCATTACATCATAACGTCCTCACGGCTGATAGGGCAAATGTGTTCAGTGGTTGGATTCGAACCCGCGACCAACAGATTGCAAGTCGAGTGCCCTAACCATGAGGTCATGTCAGGCCTCATTCAACCTTTAACACACTGAATACTTCTCTGAAATCTCATTCACTGTTTACTCTCATGTATAAACAATGTACCCTTGTCTCCATATACTGGCCGAAAATACTAGATTCTTGACGTCATTGTTAACTTTCTATGAATCCTGGGACGACTCTTAGGAATTGACTTGATATTACAATTATGCACCCTCTAGCAAACATTTAAATGAAAACATTGGAAATATAAATTCGACGAAGAGGAACCCACTTTGAGACTAATAATGCTTGGAGACGGTTTGAATGGGTAATGAAGAAAAACTTTAATATAAGTTTAACCTAATTCGCTATCAGTCTAACGATAGAACACATAACAAACTATTTTCATTTGAATATTGCCTTGAGGTCTCGTTTTATTTCTGTTTATGAAGTCCCAGCTCTTTTGTTTACACTTCTAAAAATTAAAACAAGAACCTGTTTTTAGCAGGAACATCGGTACCCGTGTTTCTATTCTCTAGACAGTTTGTTTGTTTGGATTACATGCAAAGCTACACGAGGGCTATCTGCGCTAGCCGTCCCAATTTAGCAGTGTAAGACTAGAGGGAAGGCAGCTAGTCATTACTACCCACTTCTTGGGCTACTCTTTTACCAACGAATAGTGGGATTGAGCGTCACATTATAACGCCCCATGGCTCAATGAGCGAGCATGTTCGGTAGGACGGAGATTCGAACCCGCGACCTGCAGATTGCGACTCGAGCACCCTAACCACCTGGCCATGCCGGGCCTCTCAAGACAGAACAGCATATTCTCTTACTTCTTGTTTCCTTCCTAGAAATCTTAACGTGTTTCTTCAATGCAGATGAACCTATGGTTACGATATGTAAACCAATGCTGATGTTAAGAAATGGTTGGAGACACGCAGATGGTTCAGAAGAAATTCTGGCAAGATACAGGGGAATGCTATATTTGATTACCGAATGAAAATCTCGATTCACTGGTATCAATATTTACCTGACTAAAGCTTTCAGAAGGGGTGTCAGCAGTGAGATGAAGAACAGACATTGCCAGGGGTGGGTGGGGGTGGAAGACACATTGAGACATTATGAGCAGACATTTTAACACACATTGGTAACTGGCATCTAGTGGTACAAATCTTTAGGGTTAGGTCGATGCACCTATAAGACAACCAGAAGCATTATGCAACTGAATTGGTGGTTATTCTAAGTGGAGAGACCAGACAGTAATGTCAGTATTCATGTAAAACCTCCAGGTTAATGATGGTTTGTGCAGGCTATTCTGTGGACATTTAGATTAAAAAATGATGCACATTGTTGTGCCTTTGGTGGTGTTGGCTATGATTAGCAGGCACAAAAGGCAAACAAATGGTAAAACACACTACCCTCGCTACTTCAGGAATGAGGCAGCAAATAAAGCAGATAAACCCATTGTCCTGTTAGAGATGCAGAAAAGGAAGATGTCTATTGCTCCCTTCAAAAATTATCTGAAATGATAATTCTACTGAGGCTAGATGGCTGTGTGCTTGATATCATTGAACATTTATGACCTGAGCTATGCAGATGAAACTTCATTTAGCATGATCTGTGTAGAAGATTCAACCCCATGGAAAACAAAGTTATTCACAGAATTAAATTCAAGTCTCAATCATGTGGATCTTATGAAAACCTAGCAGCCTAAGCAGGCGACTTGAATTACCTAGAAGGAAAGGCATATATATGCCTAGCTGCAGCAGAACACGTTGATTTCCTCATAGGTATAATCAGAGAGTCTGCTGAGAAATTCCATGAGCACTACATGAGAGGTAGAGACTTAATGACTACAGAAACCTATCAGCCACTGTAAGACATAAAGATTCATAGTGTTGAATATTCCACAGTTAAAACAATAAATATTTCCTAGTATTTCTACCTTTCAGAAGATGCAAAACAACCAA